GCATTAGAAACTATATATAATTATTAGAGCAAAATTTACCTAATATATACCTACCTATTGTAGTGTAACCAACTGAAATAAAGAGAGACAACTTAACTAATATCTCTCTCTTTTATAAAAGTATGATAAATAAAGTGGCGGCGTGATCGACTATAAAGTGACTAGGACACCACGAGTGACAGACTGAAAGATTCGTTATCTATTGGCTACTTACGTGTTATTGAGGGAGTGTTAAAGGTTATAAGAAAATATCTATTGAATTATATCTAATCTTTATTGAAAATATTATAGATGACAGAATCAAAAAGTAAAAATGTATAAGTATATAAAATATATTTATAAAGATTAAATATAGGTCTGGTTCGGTGCAATAAAAAATAATTAGTTTAGCATATGAGGGGAAAGAACTAGCAAGAAAACCCCAAAGTTATAATAAATACAATAAAACCAATCAAACGTCAATTTGGATACAAATGACAAATTAAGTATATATATATATAAAAAAAACACATTTAATTACTTGATGATTTAGTTAAACACAGAAAAATATATGAAATAATAGTCAATTTGAGTTAAACACAGAAAACATATGAAATAATATTCAATACATTATATATAAAAAAAAACAATATTTCAAGGCAAAAATAAAATAAATATGAAATTACTTATAACAGTGAAATTCAAATCTAAATAGTGAATCATCAACTAGTTAAATAATATAAAAGTAATTAAAACATAATAATTGATTTAAAAAGGCACTTACATTTTTATCACAAATAAAACTAACGAAAAAACTAAACCTTTTTAACAATGACGGATATTCCATTCTCCTCCACGTTCAATCACTGACATTCAATAAAATAATTCCCGTTCCTATGACGATGATTCTCTGCTTCTGTTCCAGCGCATGCACGACTTTGGTTCCTATAATATACCGCGGTCAAAAGCGATAGAATAGGTGGATGCTTTTTATTGCCATTCAACGGGGACGGAATTAAATACGATTCCTTTCACTATATAATTTACATAAATTTTTATTTAACCTGTGGTGGAAATACAGATCAATATAGGAAAGGAAGGGTTTCAAAAATAAAAGAGACGATTATTTTGTAATAAATTTGTTATATTGCTAAATATTTCAAAAATGTATTTGAATTTTAAAAATTCAGTAGGTTATGTAATATAAAATTGTTATTTGATAATTTAAACTTATTTGTCTTTAGACGTATAATAACGTAAGGCATATGTATCAAGAAATTTCAAATGAGCGGTTAGTAGCTTTAAATTAATCCGGTATTTATTATTTGTGAAAAATCCTAAAAGAAATTTTATTCTAAATATACAGTATTTTTCTTGCAGTTAAAAAGTATTTTGTTACCTTGAACAGGCAGTTTTAATTATTGCAAAAAATTACTCAGTCTTCCGAATCCTTTCTGAAACTGTCAAAATTCATTAAAAAAAACTTAAGCCGGAACATTTAAAACAGAAAACATTTGGGGCATGCGCATTATCAATTTCCAAACAAAATTAAATAAAATAAGGTATACCTAAAAAGATAAAAGTTTGCCATCTTTTCTACTAATTCTTATTTCTTATTCTAGGTTATTTCATGTATACCGAAACGCTATACAGATGTACATGTTTAATTTGCCAAAAAGTGGTACAAAAAAAATAATTACAAAACATTTTTGTTTTCTATTTCTTAATTTAATAAAAATATCAAAAAACACTGCCATACATGTGTTTTGTTAGAAATATCTGTTAACGTCACTGGAACAAATAATTTTAATCTTAAACATTTAACCCTCAGTACTCAAAATAGCCTCCAAGTTCCATCAAAATAGAAAAAGGAATTTCTGATATCTTAATGAAAAAACTGCAAGATTTTTCGCTTTATCTACTGTACGTTAAAGTGAGGGTTCAATACATTTGAAACCAATAAATTATACTTTTATATTATACGCTATGTACTTACCCTTAAAATTTTCAAAAAAATCTTGAAGTCCCCAATTAGTCAGCTTCTCTGTGTAATCCATTGGAAAACGAACACTTATGCACAATTATTGCAAAAATGGCGTCATACCTACGATTTGCCAACGTAACGTGGATGACCTTTGCTGGCGGCTAGGGTAATTATAACATAACTAAAATCACAAATCAATCACCGGCCACCGGCTTGTTCTTGTTTGTGCCTGCCTATATACCGGGAACGGACTGAACAAAGTACGCCGCATACACGAAAATTTTCTCGAGTACAGACGAAAAAGCTCTCGATCGAAACCGATCGTTATTTTCTAAAGATATTTTTTATTGGACTTAAAAAGCGAATTGTTATGATGGAAAATATACGTATTAATATTTTGAATTTCTACTACAGAAAATAAATGTTTAGTAATTAAAAACTATTTTTAAGAGCAAAAATTATATTTGCTGGTTCTATAGACTGAAAAAAAATATTTGCAAAGGTAACAATTTTTTTTGTATGGCGACAAAACTACTTTAAAAAAGCATTTTATTTAGTTGCATGAATGTATTTTTTTAATTGTAGCTGAAAATTTATTTGTGGTCGCAAGAAATTTCTCAACAAAAAACTTTTTAAATATAATTCTCTCAGTGAAGGATTCAAGGATCACCCAATATGGGAGATTACCTTGGTAGCGGCCATATTATCAGGCAAGCATACTGAAAAAAAATATTATTTCTTTTTTTATTCACATTTTTAGTATTATTATATAAAAATACCATGTTGCAGTACAATTAAACATTTTGTAAAGGGAGGAAATTTACTTAATAGCGAATTTATATTTGAAACAGGACATAACACTTTAAAATGCTATCAATCCTAAACATTTTATTTATTAATAATGATATGCAAAATTTAATAAAAAAGGTGATATAATGTTTCGTCGGATTTACAAACTCCTTTAAAATATACGAGTATATAATTGTTCATTGTATCCCTTAGATTATAAAATAGTTACGCCTATTAGTTTTAATATCGCTCACAGAGTTAAGAGTTAAGTAACTAAAATCAAATTAGAACACATAGAAAAAGTGCCGAGTTTTAGAATTTTTTTATTTCAGAATTAAATAATTACAATATGTATGTATTATTGTTAATAATCCAGAATTATGAGAAGCCAAGGCGTAAAAATATTATTTAACAGTAACAAATCCTTTAAAAGGAAATATAAAGGAACTCTTAGAAATGTACAAAAAAAACCACAAACTTTTTACGTTTTATTTAAACACAGCTAAGTAAACTTGGGTTAAACACATCTATCTTCCTCGGACATAGTAGCTATCATGGTCCATTAAGAATGCTGTGGACTAGCACAATTTGGATTTCTTTTTAAGATTTTACTTCAGATATATTAAAGAGTACAAAAGTTAGGCCCACAAAACAGTTTTTGGATGAGAATTTATAGTTTTAAATTGTTAATCTCCTAATTGTGAAAATCGAATGTTTAGGCTGATCCAAATTAAATATTAAGGTGAGTTCGGGCTGCGCACTCCAGAGTAGAGTGTAGTAATTAGGCGTAAACGAAGTGCGAATATGATTTTACTCCTTTAACTCTCGGAGTGGAATGTCAATTGTCAATGTGACATACCAGTACTTAAAATTTAATCGTACTTGTCAGTAACGACCGTATAAGTTTCTTCCATATTAATGATATTCACGGGAACCAAAAAAAAATTTATTTACTAAAGAATCACTCACAATTAACTTATTATCAATTTAAATCACCTTATGCGCATGCCCGATCCACACTCCACTCCACCATCTCCGAACGGTCAAAGAGGAACTTTTATTTTAATTCCTTCCGTACCCGAACGCCTTAGGTACTTTAGGAGTGAATATAGTGAAAAGAGTGCGTAGACCGAACTCACCATTAGAAAGTAGAAATTCTAAAATTTCTTTGAAGAAATTAATAATCTTGAAATAAGAACAGGCTGTTCTTGCTTTTTAATAGGGTTCTTACTGGTACCTATCCACCGAAAAAAAGTTGTCAAACTTGTTTTTAGTTAATGTACCAAATTCCTCTGTCTTCTGAGGTGTCCCACCTGTAATAAAAAAAAATAATTTTATAACTACAAAACCTAAATGGAACATAAAAGTTTGTCCTGATAAGAGGTCGTATCTACAAAATGAATATTTTTAGTAAAAGTGGGTAGGTAGATAATTACGTCCTTTTAGACTTCGCAAATAAGTTTTGCATATTTTACTAACCTTTTCTTATAATTATAGTAAATATTTTCTAATGCAAATAGGCCTTTATTATTTGTGTCATAATAAAATAAAATGTAAGCTTATTACATTTATAAAAATCTTAAAATCGTATTTTCGTAGATACGACTTCTTGTCTTAGCAAGGCAGAAGTCTTTTCAAAAAGTCGTCATCCAGCATCATTTTTTTTACTTCTATTCTAGTTTGTTTCTTGTTTTTATGATTATAAATTTTCTTATATATAATATTATACCTAACAAAAAGTGAACTACATATATATATATATATATATATATATATATATATATATATTATGCAAACTTGTTACAAAATGGAAAATAGGATGAACACATGCTAATGCCAATTTGCCAGTTTCTCTATTAATGCGTTGTGTCTCTGACTTCCGAATAATAAGTATCACATCTTAGCATGTGCCAGTCCATAGCCACCTAAAACTACAAGCCGTGAAGCGTGAAATCTGGCATCACCGCGGGTAGTCCTATGGGACCACACGACACAAAATCGCCCCCGAAAAGGATAGATACGATTGCATATGGTTCGACATAAGTGTGAAGTGCCGTTCTGTTTGTTAGTTTATTTCATTTAAATAATATTAAATAGCTACTATTGAAAGTATTATAAGTAAATTATTTATAAGTTTATTCTGAAAAGGTAAGTTTCTATTAGTACTAACGTACTAAGTACCACATTTTTAAAACATATTCAAGAGAATATGTTATCGACATTTCTAACCTCAATATTTTAATTTTAGGTGCCAAAGTGCAATTTAAATTACTCCAGTACTTTAAAAAAGGAAGAAACACAAAGTACATTTTCATTTCCTAAAAAGGAGGAAATTAGAAAACAATGGATTAGTGCTATACATCGTAAAGACTATGTTGTTAACTCAAATTCAGTAGTGTGTAAGAAACATTTTGATCATACTGATATTATAGTAAATGAATTCTACATTGATAAAAACGGAATAAAACATGAAATTAAACTGAAGTATCCTAAATTGAAAGAAGGTACAGTTCCAAGAATTTTTGAAAACCATCCTCAGTATTTTTCAAATCCAAAAAATGCAGAAAGAAGAGATCCTGAACAAAGGAGAGCTGAAATATTTGAAAAACAGGAAAATAAAGTTGCAGAATTTTTAGATGCTGATCAAATTAAAAATTTTTGTGAATTATTTGGACAAGTGAATGTGAAAGTTATTTTAAATAATTGGAATGTAAAAATTTTACCAAAAAGGGTTTACTTTTCCATGCTTAATACTCCAGATTGTTTCGATGAGTGTCCTAAAATTATTTCTAGCATAAGTGTTGATATGGATTTAACTGTGTCAGTGTTTACTAGTGACGTGCAACTATCACCACGATATTTAAAATGGATTTTACCACATGAATGCAAATTAGGTAGGTGGTCGCAACTCCAGAATTTATTATCAAGATATTCTTATAGCTTAAAAAATTATGTGAATATTAATTTTTATATTTTAAAGGCTTCAAATATTATTGATGCCATTATTAAGAATTTAAGTGATGATGAAAAAAAAAGCAACCCTTGAACTAATTAACAATCAATTAATTAATAACTACAAAAAAAAGATATTCATTGTCAACAATTTTACTCTCACTAACTATATTTCATCAGTCACCTTACACATATTTATAAAAATTTCTTAACTTGCCTACTAAAAGATATTTGCAAATAATAACTTCATCATTCCAGTTATCCCCTGATGGAAACTTGGAGGATAATTATTTTTCACACCTTGCTTCACACCTTAACACATATTTATAAAAATTTCTCAACTTGCCTACTAAAAGATATTTTCAAATAATAACTTCATCATTCCAGTTATCCCCTGATGGAAACTTGGAGGATAATTATTTTTCACACCTTGCTTCACACCTCAATAACAGAGAGAAGGTTGTAAACTTATTATTTGATGAAATATATGTCAAAGCGGGTTTATTGTATATCTGAGACCATAAACTTTTATATGTACTTACAATACAACATAGTTCAGTACAATTAAATCTTATTATCTCACTTTATATTATACATGATTAGTTATTATTAAAACATTAAGGAATACATACGAATTTCCATGTTTCCATAAACTTTTATGTTTACACTGTAACACAGTTTAGTACCAATATAACTTATTACCTCATACTATAATATATTAGAAATGGTTAGTTATTATTGAAAATTTGAGAGAAACATACATGAATTTTCATGTTTACAACATTTTTTCTACTCTTATATATTCGTTTATTGTATAGGTATCTGAGACCATAAACTTTTGTATGTTGGTACTTACAATATAATGTAGTTCAGTATTATTATATCTTATCTCACTTTATATTGTATTAGATATTGTTGATTATTATTGAAAATTTGAAGAAAACGTATGAATTTGTATATTTATAACATTTTTTTTCTACTCTTATACATTCGTTCATTGTATATTTGAGACCAGAAAAGTACTTAAAATATAATATAGTTCAGTATTATATTTTATCTCACTTTATATTATTCATTGTTAGTTATTATTCAAAAATTGAGGGATACATATATGAAATTCCATGTTACCAACATATTTCTTTTTCTACTTTTATACATTCGTTCATTGTTTGTCTGAGACCATAAACATATGTACTTACAACATAATATAGTTCAGTATTATATTTTATCTCACTTTATTATTAGACATTGTTAGTTATTATTAAAATTTGAGTAAAACATGTATGAATTGTGGTTCAATGGATTTCATCGTCAAACATTGAGAAAAATTTTTTTTGTGTTTTATTATTATTATTATTATTATTATTATTATTATTATTATTATTATTATTATTATTATTATTATTATTATTATTATTATTAATATTATTATTATTATTATTATTATTATTATTATTATTATTATTATTATTATTATTATTATTATTATTATTATTATTATTATTATTATTATTATTATTATTATTATTATTATTATTATTATTATTATTATTATTATTATTATTATTATTATTATTATTATTATTATTATTATTATTATTATTATTATTATTATTATTATTATTATTATTATTATTATTATTATTATTATTATTATTATTATTATTATTATTATTATTATTATAACTACTAAATAAAAATTAAAAAAGAGAAAATGGTACTTTTAACTATTTTGTCTTTCCCTATTTATATATAAATAGATATTTATCAATGTGAGATTAAATTTTATAAATACTTATGAGTTGTTTTATTTATTTGTTTAACCTGTATGTTCTATAATTTGTTTATAAATAATATAAACGACAGATACATTAATTTTTAAGTACGTGAATATCAATTTTATTTCTGAATCTAACCCTACTCTAAATGATCTTGTAATTAAATTTTCAAGAAATTTTACCAATAAATTTTATTACCCAATTATTTTTAATATTTTTTTTTTTTAAGATTTTTGTATTGTTTTTCCCTCTATGGTTAGGTATTCAACACAACATTGAATGCATAAAACGGTTATGTCAATTCACGTGAGTTTAGAGCACACAACACAGGACTACTTCAGTCAGCTGATGCGCCGTTGCCCTTTTCAGTGCATGGCTTGTAATTTTAGGAGGCTATGACCAGTCCTATATCTACCGTGCCAGTGCAGTGGTTGCATTTTAAAATAAGTTACAGCTTGCAACACCGTGCACTGAATTTGTACTCGTTAATCTTTTGTGAAGTACATAGGTTTTTGATTCGATTTGTTTAAATCTTGTTCTGAAATTTAAATGCTTTGAATAAATTCTTTTATAACATTGAACCAAGTACGCGATAGTCGGTTTTAAGAGCATATCATAATTACAATAAACGTAGGAGATTTCTTGGATTAATTAACAATTCTATACTCGAATTAAATAATTTATTCTTACTCAAGATTTAATTTCTTATTGTATCGAGAAATATTATTTGAAGCAAACTCTGCTTTATTTCAAACAAATGTAATCTTAAAAGTGTAAAGCTTTTCTTGAATAAGATGATAATTTTTTTCTGTGTATGTGGTTCGTAGTATAATGAAAGATTAAACGTTTTACCTGTAAGGAAGTTCAGTCTTAATTATATGAGACCACGTCCGCTTAGACCAACCCTCACAACCTTTGTTTTGACCCGACAACTGATTTTTCGTTTTAAATGGGGCACTTTAAACCTATTGATTGGGATCATGAAGAGGCCAGGCTGAAATTGTTTTTTTAAAATACAGTGGTGTACGTAACACCAGAGGCATTACTACATATGTGGTCTATGCGGACGTGGTTCTCATATAATTAAAATTGAACTTCCTTACAGGTAAGTCGTTTAATCTTTAATTATAACCTTGTTTGTTATAAATAAATCTCCAATGACGATAATTAAATTTCTACACATTTTTGTGACCTTTGTGTCATTCATGATGTGCTTGATATTACATTTAGATTTAAGTTCTATAATAAGCTTCTATATTTTCAATGTTATCATTAATTAGAATGTTATTTTTTAAACTTGTTCTCAATTTATTTATCATCAATTCTAGTAAAAATTAAATTTTATTACGCAGACTTATACCTTTGTTTACCTTGGTAGGTACAGCAAGCTGGGCGTAAGACTAATAAGGTTTTAAATGTGATTTTAAGAGAATATGAGTTTAAAATGTAAAAAGTAAGTACTGTTCTTACAATGATAAAATTATATTCAAAATAGCATCCATAAAATTTTAATAATTCAAATAATAATTAAAATTAACTTTTTTCTGTCTGGAATATGATGCGTCTATTTACTTTAGGGATAAAATAAAAAAGTAAAGCCACTCTAGGTGTATTATTTTATTTTTTATATAAATTTTTGGAAAGTTTCATTTAATCATTTTATTTTATTATATAAGTTAGCAGGCGTCTAACTTCATAAAGGACTAGAGCTCTTTGAAATTGGGATCTTTAAGTAATTTTTTTTTCAGATTTGACAATAACAAGACCTTTTAACCTTTCTATAAATAATTTAAAATGTACTTTTTTATCTACTACACTAAACTAAAGTGCTAATGAAGATTGTAAATGAGTAAACCGTTTTAGTTATAAGTTTCCTACTGTAAAGATAACCTAACTACTAAATACTGGCAGCAGCCGAAAAAAAATAAACTAAATAGCAGAAAATGCAATACCTAAAGAATGATAAACGAAATAAAAAAGGAACTAAAATACATTAAGACATTTTTTAAATGACAATGAATACCATGTTTATCTTCAGTAAAATGTAATACTGATGTTTGGAAATAAATACAAAACTCTCGTAATTGTCTTTTAAAAATCGGCAATAATTGAAAATTACTTTTAATTAAGATTATCTAACTCCTGTTTTAATTTGAATTATAGAAAAAGCAGAGAATCGCAAAAGACACAAAACTGGCAAATCTTTATAGTAAAAAGTTGAAACTCGGTTATTCCATTTGAAATTGGTTTAGTTAAAAAGCGCTTCGCTTACTGTGCAAGGAATAGCTGCTAATTATTAATTGCAGAGCGCTAATTAAAATTGTTGGGTCTCTCTGGTGTTCGTTGCCACACAGGATCGGATTCAGTTTAATAAAGTACAAGAGTGTTTAATTTTTAAATATTTCGGTTTTCCACGTACACCTGAAATAGTTTTAAAAACCTTTTAAGCGGTTAATTTATTATTTAACAATAAAAGTCAATAAGTCAAAGAATATCTTGATCGATCAAAGACTTACAGATACGTCAAAAATATATAAAATTATAATAGGAAAGGATAGCCAAAGAAAGTAGGAAGGAGGAAAGAAATATTTATTACTATCATCTCCTACAGCTTCACAGTATGACTTGGCAACTTTATTTTTAAAAAATTAGTTCATCCTCTTTGTTTTTTATATATAGGAACAAGAATTTATACACAAGATCAGCAAGCCAATCAATAATAATAATAACAATAATAATAATGATAATCCATGGGTCCCAGGTTCGAATCCCATCGTTGGCTGGAATTGTTTCATTAAATTTAATTATTTAAAATAAATTCTGATGCCTTGGTATGATTCCCCATTCGACCATTCACTGTTGGGTTCTAATTAACAGTGCTGTTCCTAAAGTGGCACTGGGAAACATTAACAAAACCTACACAGAACACGAGGCGAAATAACCCTGGTTGTTGAAGCCGATGACACAAAAAAAAAAATAATAATAATAATAATAATAATAATAATAATAATAATAATAATAATAATAATAATAATAAATAATAATAATAATAATAATAATATTAATAATAATAATAATAATAATAATAAT